TAGATAGATAATACATATTTGAGAAAGTAATTCAAACTCCTGTATCTGATTATGAACTGGATGATACAAGCTAAAGAATACTATTGCAAATATCTCGATCAAATGTTGATGATGTATAGATGAAATTTATTTTTACACATTCAATTGAAAGAATACAACTCCTAGTTTAGCGTTGGATTGGATAGAGAAATTTTATTCTTTCACTTGCCAAACAGAAATTAAACCAACTACCTTATAGTTCTAATCATCAAGGTTAATGTTCAAGTTTCTTGATCTAACCGAATCCAAGAAATATACATACTCTATCCAGTCAAAATGGACCCTGATTGTACATAGTTGAGCAGAGGATTTCGTCAACATAAGGCGATCGAACTTTATTCATTCAAAAATTTTTTATAGGTTTCTGTATATTCTCTATCTATATATGGGTGTGGGTGTATGAGTGGTTGGGCGGATGTGAGTGTGAATGAAGAAGAAATGCAGCCACACCAACACCCACACCCACACTCCATACTTTATCTATCATAGATTTTGAAAACTTATTTTGATTTTGGTAGAATTGAATATTATCGAATTATCTCCACTTGATTGTTAAGATTTCTGTCTTTGAATTCTTTTAGAAATATTTTGCTTAGAAAAATTATTAAAACCATAATTTAGAATTGTTCTTTTAGTTTTACATATTATCAGATATACATGTACAATTCTTTTATAATAATAAATTTTACTAAAATGAATAGGCCATATTTATAAAAACATTAAAACATTAAAGTACTTAATAAATAATATTTTTTTATATGTTTTTGTGTTCATCAAGACATAGTTTTAAAATACCAGTGGAATAAGATATATTTTCATATTAAAATATCCTATGTCTACTTTAAATTTGATGCTATAAATGTACTATTGAAGACCTTTCTACGAATATTTAAAGTCATTGAGCTGAAAAAGCGCTCTTGCTATTATGTTGCTCTTAATCAGCTAAAAAGATTCTCAATGAAAATATGAAAACTTTGTATGGTTTTTATATTTCATGCAAAATTTGTCAAAATAAATCAAACGAATAAAAATTATTTTTGTGTAACGATGACAATAAAATATTAAGAGTGAGGGTGTGTGTGTGTCTCTTAATCAAGAGAAGACCGACACGCACATCCACACCATATTATTCGAATAATGTGGGAGTGTACGCGTCCGGCTTGTCATCATCATCACTATCATGGACCGAATCAGAGCATCGTTTCATTAACCATTGCATCAATCGTTCATGCCAATGCTTTTTGTCCAAATCTTGATAACTGTATGCGATGGCATCATTCAAGTCACTGCGGCGAAGGATCCAAATTAATCGGTAACGAAAAACCTCAGATGTGACAACAAGTTCATAAAATAATCTGTTTAGATTATCGGTCGCTTGTTTCATCAGCGGTGGAATTTCACCGACGGCCAATCCTATGCAAAAAGAAACATTATCAATCGTTAACAAAATTTGGTAAGAGCATCTAAAAAACCACAAAGTGTCCGGAAATACATGTGTATAACATAAATTTTCTCTTCTATGCATCTTACCAATAAGAAGATTTGTCACGAACACTGTCATCATGAGAACAAACAGAAGGTAAATCAAGAATGACACCTTATAATAGGCTTTCGTGATTTCATTGTGCATTCGGTCATCAAAGTCTAATTCTCCAGATGTCATCAATGCTAAGTAAATAATCAGAAACATGATAAGAAATGAATTCAAGTTGACGAAGGCTATTTCAACGTACCTGTTTTGATGTAAGAGTAACCTATATTGTGGAATGGTTCGAAGTTTTGAAAAATCATGTAAAAAGTGAATGCAAATCCGGTAATAAGGATGAGAAGTATGATGGAAAATCGTATAAATTTCTTGATAATTACGAAAAGCATTGTAACATAAAGGCCTATCATTGGTATGAACTGAATATAGCCAAGCAAAGTTAACCAACTGAGAAGTAAAGCAAATGCTCCGAATTCCCATTGAAGTGGACAGCGCAAGGTGAGATTCATCTGATAGCTTCGATCGTGCACGAAGATGAAGCTCACTACCACTGCAATAGTTTCCAACCAATATCTCAATGTTTTGAAGAAATCAATTTGCAAAATTTCAATGATGATAAATATATTTTTGAAGACAAGTGACCAAATAACGATGTATATTGTGTATTTTAAAATATAGTCGATCGTTGTTTTGACACCACCAAGAGTAGGTGATGATGTCAGAAGTGCTTGCGAAACATTGTAACACAACGAATCTTGGAAATCAATATTTGTGAGATTATAGTATGTTGCTGGATGATGTGTACGTAGTACGATCGTAGTAACTAATCCGAGATAAGTAATATATAGTAAAAGAATCAAGATATAGAGAAAAATGCCGAATTTTTGAAACTTTAACTTCACAAGATAATTACTGAGGGGATGTGACATAAGATCATGAGCTTGATACTGAGCCATTAGAAATAGTGGATGTTGCATGACAAGATCGACCGTGTTGGAAGTGTACAATGTTCCATGTTTTACATCTTCTGATGAGTCTGAATAGTAGCAAAGTTATATTGTTACTTCAAGCAGTGGTAAATGATTTACCTTTATTCCACTTGTTAACAGTAAACTGATCTTCTAGAAATTCATACACAAAAATGCTCTTGTGTACAGTCATTCCTTTAGTACGCACTATCATTGAACATTTGTCGAGTACGAGTAAAGCCATTGAGGGCATTTTACGAATAAGTTTTCTCATCGGTGTATCTACTTCACATTGGCGAGCAAGCAGAGAACAGTAAGTGCGTTTTCTTTCTCGAATTTGTGAATTACGCATTAAATCGAAACAATTATCATTTTCAATCAAATATCGAACAACTTCTTCGTTGTTTGCCTCAATTGCTATTTCGAGACAATTGTAACCGTCTACATCCGTTGCGAATAGGTCACAGTTGAATTCGATCAACTGTCGAACAAGTTTGCTTGATCCATATTTGCATGCAATATGCAATGGTGTCTCTTGTCGAATAGTTAAAGCATTGATATTGATCATACCACGTGTAACGAGACTTGTAATACACTGAGATCGTTCTTTGTCGTCCGCATTCCTACTACATCGTACTGCATGATGTAATGGTGTCCATTCGTTGATATCGCAAACATGTGAATCAGCTCGATGGTCGAGAAATGCATCGACAATACCAACATGACCTATAGAACAAATGAGCTATGTTTCAATAATAATTAGAGATGACAAATGTAGAAGTATTCAAAGCGGCATTTAGAACAGATTGAAAAGACACGCCATTGAATCAAGATTAACTTGAGACTTTAGATATTCGATAGCATTAGTTATCAATTTAGCTTATAAATGAAATCTTTATTATTGAACTGTTCAGCTACTGGCATGCAGATTTTCAAGGCGACAATCTACTCTATGCATTCATTCTTTTGTAAAACACGACCTAAAAGGAGTTTTGAAGTGTATAGGGGTAGAAATTTGCAGGCATCCACCCCACACAGACTGTGAGCGATATTTTAATTAATTAATCCTTAGCTACGTCTCTTGCAGTCACCGATCGTGACGGACACTCTCACAGACCATAGGAGACATAGAACTAAACTATTTCTGTGTCATCAGCCACAGCACCTATATCGCGTTGCACATTTTACTTCCTTTGGGATTGTGCTAATAGCTTATATAAATACTGTAGATATTTCATTTTGATTGAAATATAGTATAAGATACTCAAAATCAAGGGTGTATATTCAGTTTTCATACTCTTAAGATGTATAATATTTCATGCATCCTTAGGAAGACAGCTGATACTAATGAGGGAACTAGTCCAACTGATTCCGAGCTTTTGGTTTCATCTTTTGGTTATAGATAAACTTCAGTGAAACTAAGAAAGCCCTACAAGCATTCGTGACCATGGCTCTTCCTTCACGAGATACGATCAAAACTATGTTCTAAAAAAGAGATATGTTTCATTTTCGAAAAGTTTCTTTTTTCAGTCATCTAGATACTTCCACACTAGTCTTCATACAGCTAACCCTAGTAACAGCTTGTTTTCTACAACATTACTGTAAAAAACAAGTTATTATTGAAGCTAATTGTATAAAGACTAATCTAAAATTATTTATATGAAAAAAAGGAACTTTTTAAAAATAAAAAATGATCCATTTTTATAGGACACAGTTTTGGCCATATCTCGAGAAGGAAGAGCCATGGACACGAATACTTGTAGAGTTTTCTTAGTCTCACTGACGTCTATCTATAACCAACAGATGCAGCCAAAAGCTCGGAATCAGTTGCAATAGTTCCTTCGTAAGAGGATATTTTATACACTAGGTGTCTCTAATTTTGTTCTTGAACGTTCCTGGATTTTTCTTTTCAGAATCTTAAAAGATCTTATTCTTTTAGAATATTTTTCACATTTAAAGAAGTTTCTGTTAATTTCTTACATTATCTTATTTTAAAGAAAACTATCGCAAATGCGTACGACTTAGTCAAGATTCTAATCATTTTCCTAGAATATCCCGGTAACAAGAATCAATCAAGAAATACGCCCGATCTACTGTAAGACCTTGCGAAATATCAGCATATCGTGTCATACTTCTAGAGAAGCCCGAAAATATATACTGGCAAATATTAGTCAAGTTGAGACAGAATCTTGCTTCATTTTCTAGCACATCTTATTCAGATGTAAAAGAAGAAAAGGATTTTGGTTAAAAATGTCATACTCTAAACGATACGGTAGAAAACATGTTTTTAATAACTTTCGTGAGAAAAGTCACAATATTCCTTGTTAAGAAACACTATACATAAGCCACGACCGAGTCTATTCAATCGATTTTAGGTGTAGGTGTTGATTTTTTTCTTCCATTATACCCACAGTCATTTTCTCACCTTTTGCAGCAGCCATATGCAAACTTGTGCGCTGTTGGTCATCACACGTAGTAATCACCGATGCATCAGCATATTTGAGCATTTCATTGATAACATCCAAATGTCCAGCTTGAATAGCCACGTGTAGAGGTGTTAGTTTTTCTTTATTCTTTTTTGTCAACAATGCATGAGCATGCCAAATTGCTGATCCATAATTAGAAGGGGACTTAATACGTTGAGTAACTTGTGGTTCTAACTGTATTCGCCTAACAGCATTGTGATTGATCATTTTTAGAAACTTTGGTGAATATGAACTAGTCATCACAGACAAATTGTGACCGGTGATGTAGCCCAACAATAGTTGAGTCATGTATACATTACCGACTTGCGCACAAGTATGTAGAGGTGTATCACCAAGCACATCAGCGGTGATTGCTAATGTATTGGACATGAAACGAGAATTAAATAGTGCTTTCGTGATCTCTTTAAGATGAACTTTTGTACAAATATGTAATACTGTGTGAGACGAGACATTACTCGCTAACTCAAATGCTTCCTGTGTAAAATATTTGTTGTTCAGAAGCTCTTTGACGCATTCAAGTTGGCAATGCTGGACAGCGACCATTAATGGACTCAAGCCAGTCTGCTTGTCGCGATGCATGATACTATGCGGATTAATCAGATGAGAAACTGTTTTAAGGCCATACAATTGGCGACAAGCAAAAGAAAGTCTACTGTGATCATGATTGATTGCTTCCTCGTATTGTTGTTTCAGCAAGGCCAAGACTTTGTTTTCAGGACTGAGGGCGGCGACTTTCTCGAAAGTAATGACATCTGTTCTATCGTCAATGTCTCGGATGTTTCTAAAGTCAAAAAACTGTTTGATAACCTCGGGATCATTGTACTCGATCATAGTGTCAATAGGCTTCTTCCTATCATGCGTTTCACGGTTGAATAATTGTGAAAAATTCAAGAACAAACCAATCATATTGTCGTTTTCAAGAAATCGGCAAGCATAATGGAGTGGAATGGCACCATAAATATCGGAGATCTGAAAAAGAAAACATTTAGAATAGAACTACTTGTTGGTAACACTAAACAGAAAGCGATCTTGAGAGGAGAACATACATCGAGGTTGGCACCATTTTCTATCAGATACTTGGCATTTCCTATGCAGTTGTAGATGACAGCAAAATGTAATGGTGTTCGCCCATGGCTGTCTTGAATGTTTATCTTGATTTTCGGATGATTTAGCAAATATTCCATAATCGAAGACTTATTAAAAGAAAAAGAGAATTTTAGCAAGCATAGATTTAAAACAAACACTGTAATCATCATTACTTACAGGGTGATTAGGATGCTTGATATCCTTCAAGCGAGCTGCGATATGAAGTGCTGTTTGGCCATCCCAACTGACCAAATTGATATCTTGGAGTAAATGAGATTAAGTCAAAAGCATTCTGTAAGATGCTAACATTACTATCGTATGAGACTAGAGAAAAGTGGAACCCGGGATCAACTGTCAAAGATGGTCGCCACGAAAAATAACGATTTTCTTTGTTCATATCTATAGGCTAGAAGTCAATCATTAAATCAGTTCTTGCAATTACAGACTACCTTACTATAACACAAGCGGAATTACCCGGAATTCAAAAAAGAACACATGTCCGTACGTATCAGCGAATGAAAATCAAATTTTTTCAAAAGTACTCTTTGTTTCGGAATCACGGGATTAAGATCCAGATCATATAGATTTAGTAATGTTTCATCTTTTGAAGAAGAATTTTTCAAACTTGTATAACCATAAACTAAAATAAAATGTAGAAATTACCTAATTACAGAAAAAGAAAAGACACAAGCGGCAAACGAACAAAATGAAAATATAATAGGCCGTAGATTTCTTTTAGTTTAATTTTAATAGTAACATGGAAAACAAAGCATTTATATTAATGACTAGACGATTTGATCCTTTTCGTATTATCATTATAATTGAACTAAAAGAAATCTACGGCCTATTATATTATCATTTTGTTCGTTTTCTGTTTGTGTCTTTTCTTTTTTCCATAATCAGTTAATTTGCAGATTTTATTTCAGTTGACCGTCTCATCAATTTAAAAAATTCTTCTTCGAAAGATGAAGTATTACTTAAACTATAATAAATAAATTTGTGAAAGAGAATTAAAATTAAGTCAAAATTATCACGTTTTTTTTTAGATGAGGAAGATGTAAAGGTGACAATGGTTGCTTCGTTATCTATTTTTGCACGAAATAACAGATTTTCGAAAAAATGAAATAGAGTGAAAGAATCTTACTGCAACCGAAGTCATTGATCAGACATCTACAGAAAGCAACGTTGTTGAAAAGAGTACCGTAGTGTAATATCGTATACTGATCTGGCACGTTGAGTGTTTCTAACATCTTCGTCATCTGTGATTTGTTGTAGGAATGATGTTTTCTTATGAAGTTAATGAGGTTCTTTATCCTTTTTTCGCTATAGCCACGAGGTGCTTCCAGTTGTTGGATAATTTCGTCGAGATCTTCTCTGCAATAGTCACTGGCCACTCCGCTTTCACTCAGTCTGTCCATGAACTCTTTTCTATTGTAAGTAGTTTTATGAAGATCGTTGAACATTTCGATAATTTGAGGAGAGACGCGTGGAACTGGAGTACATGCCATCTAAATATTGACAGGGGTATGCAGGAGATTCTACAAGAATGATGTAGGTCGATACTAGCTTACTTCTTTGAGTACAGCAACAAAATTATGGTGAGTCGTTTTCTTGATTTGTTCTTCAAGCTCGCTTGTTTGTCCGACAAGCTCGGCCATTGGTAGAACAATACTATCACCTTTTGACGTTTTGACACCCAAGTGCATCCCTATTGGTAGTGAAGCCTTTCAATCTAGTCTGTTGTGGAAAATGATATAAATTTCATAGAAAATAAAACCCTTTCATATGTCCAGGCTCAATAAGCGACATGCGTCAAGCGCAGAAAAAACAAAACGTTGGATAAAAGGAAGATTAGTTTCTACATGTTTTTTTTGTGCTCTTACTACCATTCATATGCAGCGATGGATATTGGCATACAAAACTCCACTAATGGAGAATAGTAAAACTGTGTAGATCATTTTCGAATTACGATAGAATTGTTTTTAGACTTCGCATTTCATACAGTTAGACACAGCTCAAACAACTCTACAACAAAATCTTTATAAAAAGCATTATAGTTTTCGAAACATGGTCATAATCAGCCTCAAAAATGGAAAGACATGATTCATAGGTCGTGTGTTTGTAAAATATCTTGAGAGCTATCGAAAGAAATTCGAATAGTCTGAATTCGTTGAGATACTTTGGAAAAAAATAGAAAAATACGAGGTACTACTGCATTCACACTAAAATTATTTCACATCGATATAAAAACAAAAAGGTCTTCATTAGTAAAATTTTTGCTGTATAAGATAAGAGTGAGAAAGTTTCAAGTTCGACAATAAAATTGAAGATTTTTCCACCGAGGTACTAAAATTCAAAAGAAGAATGTTCTCCGATCAGATTCTAATGAAGTGTATGATATTTTGCGCAAGCTCTCTTAAAAATTCTCATCACGTAGTTTTGTCTTATATGCATAAAAATGATCCTTTATAGATACATAATTGCATATGCTACGAGTATTTATTTGGTAAGATCATCTTTCAAATCATATAGACTGACGATAAGAAAGACAGATTAGAATTGCAAACGAGCATTATTATTTGAAATTTTTGACGTACATTTTTATTAGGCAAAGCCACATAATACATTTTAGTTATCAATATGTTAGGGACTTGGATTTCATTATTAGCCAACTCTTCATCCAAACAGGTCCGATTTCATCAACCTTTTATTTTTTGAGAAAAGAGAATGGATGCATCGATTATATATTAATATAAGTAGAACTGTTTGCTTTATTTTCATCGATAGATTTGATCAATGTTGTTAACAAATGAAACATTACCATAATTACCTATTCAATTCTTCTCAACTGACGACAAACGAATGCAATGTCTTATTAGCATATAATCGAGCTTACAGACTCATTTCTTCGTTACATTACTAATTCACATGTTTTTCGTCTACATTTATATTGTTTTGTTACTTTTCTCTGTAGGTTTGTTCATCCTCTCTCCTTGTTTTCGTAATTTCATTCGCATGATTGAGTTAAATATTCGATTGCACTCATATGCACCAGAAGAAAGATATATACACGGAATTGTTTTGTTGATAAAAGAAGTGGCATTGATATTTGTTTATATTCTATTTGCCGTTTTCTATAAATAGTTTGAATTGGCGGATAACGATTATCGCATAACATCTATGAATGTTCATCGGTAGTGAGTCGAAGATTTATTTGTTTCATTTCTTTTTTTTTGACTTTCTTATTGAATATTGTATTAGACGTCCCAATATTATTTTCGATGAATATCAATTATATTCGATAGTCGGAATCACACTTAAAGTTCCGCTTTTTTTCTTGATTTGTTATGCTGAAAGTCAACCTGATTCTTTTCTCAATCACTCTGAATCTTTTCTTATTAGTAAATTATGTAAATTATTTTTAAAATGAAATATCTATTTGAATGTTAATAAATAAAAGAATAAATCAACTGTCATTGATATTTCTTATATCCATGAATTATCTTTAAATGTTTCAATCAATATTTGACGAGATATAGAAATCTAAAGGAAATCATACTATCAAAAATATTGATTAAGAGAAGTACTAATGCGTTTTTGTAAAATTATTCTTATAATAGTCCTCAAATGTTCAGATGAGTTTTAGCTATTTTACATGAAACGGAGGAGAGAAGAGATGATCGACCTATCGCTCTCTAAATCTCTCACTAGTCAACGAAGAAAAGTTTTCTCACTTTTTATAATAATACACCGTGGGCGTGGGTGTGGATGTTTCCCTTCTCATTAACCCACACCCGCACCCACACCCACACCCACACCCACACCCACACCTACACCCACACTTACACACCCACACTCACCCATACCCTCACACTCTACCCTATGTATCAGATCTACTACCAACACAGCCAAAACAATCGAAGTTGAAGTGTAGTTGGCAGGAAGAGACGAAATCCAACTTCATCTGAAAAAGCCTCAACTTCGGTGTTGAAGTTGCCCATCTTTGATTTTGACCGATAAGAAAATAAAAAGGTTGAACATTCTTATCTTGTTTATTAGATACCATTCCATGTTCACAAAAAGAAAAAACTATAAAAAATTAAATAGAAAAATGGGAACAATAGGTCTGTGTTAGTGCCTTTTCAATACGCATCAATGCTTCAGTCATTATTGTGTCATTCACTGAGAAAATGAATCGAAACCATCCAGGCTCTGTACAACCTAATGTATGCCCACGCAATACAAACACACCTGCACAATTGAACAGATGCTCGAAGAGTCGTTTTTCATCATTAAATGATGCCTTGTCAGGCAGCAATTCACGTAGATCTGCCCAAATGAAGAAACCCGCATGCGATTGACGGATTTTAACACCTTCAATTGTTTCAAGTGTTGATTTCACTTGAATATATCGATGGGTAAGTCGTTGTCGATTGAGTGCAATATATGCATGTATCCATTCACGATTGGCTATCAATTGTTCAAATGTATATTGAATATTGCGTGATGGAACAAGAACAAAATTGATTTTAGACGCCTTAGTACACAATTCTGCTGTACCCGCATATATAATACCAACACGTGCACCACTTAATGAAAAATCTTTGCTAAATGACCAAAGGAAATGTGTTCGATCAGGATCGGGCAAAGATGAATTATAGTTAAGAATCGATTGAAAACATTCAGTAACAAATGTGCTCAATGCATAGATTTCATCGACGATCACATGCATGCGTTTCTCGGCAGCAAATTGAAAGATAGGGCGTATTGTCATTTCATCATAAATATCGCCAAGAGGATTGCTAGGATTGATGAGAATGATTGCACGTGGATTGAGACCCTTGGATTGAGCTTCTATATAGCCGTGTTCAAAAATTTCTCGCGATAATCGAAATTTGCCTGTGCTTTGATTGAGTAGAGGACATCGAATGATTTGATTTTCAGTCAAAATTGATACATTATGATCAATATATGAATAATATGGACTTGGTACAAGTATAGCATCATTAACATCAGTCAACATATAACTGTACACGATAAAAGCACCAGCTGCTCCACCAGTTATTATCATTCGATCGGGTGTCAGCTGTACATCATTATCAAGATGTAAAGCATCCTGAAAAAAGTGACATAGTTCTTGCCGAAATGTCCGTTCACCTATTGGATCACCGTAATAGTTTAGCGATGGTATCCATGTTTGTATTGATTGAAGTTTATCGACTAATTCTTGCTCGCAAAGCATATTCTCAGCGATGCCTAGATCAATGATACCATATGGATTTGTATATGCATCGAATGGATTACGTGCAACGCGATTAAAATATGGCACGAGAGCAGAAAGGGTGCTATTTGGATTCTGCTGAGCACCCCGGCATGACAGATCAGTCGGTATTTTTTGATTGTAAAAACTTAGTATCGGTATATGAAACATCACGCTTTGATTTTCCATATATATATTCAAAAAAAGTTATTAAAAGCGTGAAACTTAATAGGACGGAAGTGATGTCATAGGACATTCCCTTTCACTTCTCTCCTATCGATTGCATCATCCTTCATAATTAATTTGCAAAGCAGAGGAATAGCGTAGTTCGATGACGATAACATCATAAAAGTAGAAGAGTCATGAGGTTGCCTATCATTTTGTTGACTATTCCCGGTCAATAAGTGCACTAATAGTGTGAATGTGGGTGTTGCTGCGTCAATATAGGTGTGAATGACGAGAAGACAACATCCACACCTACATCGACATCAACATGCACACGCATACCTTTTACTAGTAAACCAACTCGCTATAGTTTCCAATATTGACTCGAGTATCTGCTTTTGTTGAGCAACTAGTACTGTTACGACGTAAATTATATTCTATTTCAATGTTTTATCTTTTACATTTGTTGATAGTTGTTGCCATAAACCTTATATTACTTCATCAGGTATTTCTATACTCTTTCTTAAACTAACAGCAATAATATTTAGAGCGTGGGTGTGGGTGTGAGTGTTTTCTCTACTTGTTTCAACACGCACACTTACATCACCCACCCACAGCCACACCCTCGTGACTTGAATGATTTTTGATCTTAACATGCAAGCAAGTACACAAACTCATTTTATTTCATATGACCCTCACTTTAATGGAGGGAAAAATGAATTTCGATAAAGATTTTATCATGAAATTTAAAAACTGAATTGACGTTGTATTACCCAATTAATTGTTCAAAATTGATCATTGCTTATTGAACTTATTATTAAATTTGTTATTCAAAACTATGAAGTTTAAAATAATTTTCGATGGGTAATTTATTATAAAGCAAATACAAATATGATTAAACTAGTGAAATACTGTGACTTGTATAAATTAATAAACATTATCTGATTGTTTTTATTACACTAAACTATTAATGTATGATCTACTCTACTATTTATTCAACTTAACGTAGCTTATTTCGTCCAAACTGATATTCAAAAGTAGTTTCATCTTTCAATAACATTTAATTATGAATGGGAATATTATCAACGAATATACGGTGAATTCAGACAGATCATCATCAACTCCTAAAAATGATTCTAAAATGTGACTTCATTAATCCTCCACACTTCCATTTTTCTGATTTCATCTTTCTTATCGCACTTTTTTTCATTTTTTTCTTTTTGATTTTGATTTTTTTGTGCTTCCAAAATGTAATGCAGATCCATGATGAGTGTTGATATTTTTAAATAAATAACTCGAAACGTGTCAGCGAGATTAACTCTGCATTGTTTTAAATCATTTTGATTCAAGCACATTTATGTATTATTATTTTATTGTTTGTTCATTTTCGACTTAATCAATTGTTGAAAAGCAAGAATTGAGACTAGTAGATTGAACTTATCTTTTAGTTAAGAGATAGGATGATCTGTTTTTTAATTGATGTAAGCATATCACCACTCCATCGTACATTCTTTTTCGAATTCTAATAAAAATTTCGATTGTTTAAAACTCATCGAACTTTCGACTGCTCAACAAGAGGAGACCTATTGGAAAGATACATTCGAATACTCGACATCATTTTAATTATTCTAAGCTAATAGAAATATATGATGTTCGCCGAGAACAAACTTATTCAACTAATATTTTCGATCAATCCTTTTTATCTAGAATGCGGACAAGTTCTTTGACATTTGGCTTTTAAGTGATTTTTTCCTTTTATTCCACCATGTCATGAAAGAAATTTTCACTTCATATCAAACGATCGAAAAAAAATTTCTAAAAGTCTAACACGTACGATTGGTATCATTGCAAAGAGTGCAAAAAACTGAATATTACCCTAGAATATGAGCGCGGGGTATAGTGTAGTTCTAAGCACAATTTTTTCAAACAAAATTTCCTGCAAGAAGAACTTTTTTGTTCTTTCTTTAGTTTCTTCTTTCGTTCAGTCATTCGCGATGACGTATATATATA